GCGAAGAAATTAATTCTAGCTCATTTTAACTGCGAAATTGATGTAAATTAGTTTGGCCTCTTAAATTGATGTGAAGTAATTTTTCATCTTTTTTTGGGTCAGAAATTAGTGTACATTAATTTAATATGAGACTTTGGTAACGAGGAAAATTAATTTTTTCATAAAAAAATGAACTAAAATTAATTTCAGAATTAATGCACATTAATTAGAAGTATGGTATTTAATTTTTTTATATTTATTCCAAGATTTAAATTAATGTGCATTAATTTTGAACGCCAGAAAGTTTTTTAAATTAATGTGAACGAATTTCCTTTCAAATTTATTCAAATTCCTTTGAATCTCGAAATTAGTTTGCATTAATTCGAAAGTATTTAAAAGTTCCAATGAGTAGTCAACATCCACCTAAATTATGTGAGAATCTCACTATATACTCTATTTTACCTGCTTCACACGATCTTTTATTTGAGCATAAAGCAAATAAGAAAAAATATTATTTTACTCTGAAAGATTATTGGAAAACCTTTTCGAAAACCTAAGTATTTTCGTTGATTTTAAAAGCTGTTGTTGGACTACATAGTATCGAACATTATCACGAGATTTAGCGTGGTCGATTACCTATGTTTCCATCTGTTTTCGCACTTACCACACCTAAACAAATGAGATGTGGGTGATTTGTGAAAATTCAGATCTACAGATATTGGGATGTTCAGATATTCAGATATACAGACAGAGACATATAGAGATATTGCGATGTTCAGATACGTAGATATTCAGATACCCAGACAAAAGAGACATTGTGATGTTCAGATATAGACATATACAAATATTGTAATGTTGAGATACTCAGACATACAGATATAGAGATATAGAGATATACTGTGATGTTCAGATACAGAGCAATAGAGACATTGTGATGTTCAGACATTCAGATATTGAGCTGATGTTCGATACGGATATACGGATATACAAATATAGAGAGATTCTAGTGTTCAGATAGCCACATAAACAGATATTTTGATGTTTACATATCCTGATATTCGGATATCCAGATATAGAAAGATATTGATCTCAAGATATTCATATATTTTGACACGCAGATATTGTGATGTTCGAATATTCAGATATAAGCTTAAGTTACAGCATGCATTCGTAGAGGCCAAACACCACAAAATAAAATGGCACTTGAATTTGGTGATGACGTTTTTGGTGATAACGTATCTATTTTTTATTCATTCGTGCGAATCATCGTTATATGCACATTGTCATGACAAGGACTCCCTTCTTTGTTGATCTCAGTTATTCGTATTTGTCCGGTCTTCGCTTACATTCATAAACTTTCTTTTACTAAGAGACATTTGTACTGTTAATAGCAGCTTTCAAAATGCTGTCTGAAAAACTGCGATAAAATTATTTTCATTAGAGTCTGTTTTTATGAAAAAACTAGACTGTAAAAGGAAAAATAATAGTGATATCAGTGATTATATAGCGCGTTGAAGAGTCGATTCAGTTGCGTTAAAAAGTTGCACTTAAAAACTTTTCAATATTAAGCGTCGAAAAATTTCGTTCTAATGCCTGATTTTTAGAGAATGGATGATACTTTAGGCTATCTAAGACATGTTTCAAACATTGAGGGTGCTAGTGACGTCATATAACTGCTTTTATATCGGTCGATCAAGTAAACGACATTTCAGATTCAGACATGTCATTTCCATTTTTCAGATCACACTTGAGTCCTTTGACGTTGCCTAATAATGACGAAATTCCACCGTAGTTTTGCCAATTGGTGAAAGTCAAGTGATCGTATTGGCAAGGGTTCACATGACTTTCGGCAATTGGCGAAAGTGAAGGTGCTGTATTGGCGAAAGTTCACATGCCACTCGTCCTTGGCGAAAGTGCGATTGGCGAAAGCCATATTGGCGAAGATACGGCTAGCCGAACAGGTAATCAAAAGTTTTTTTCATTTCACTATTTGAAAGAGATGTTCAAAAGTAAAGTGTCATACATCAGGTGGTATGTTTGTCTTTCTCATAGAAACCTACGTTTACAGCTTACATCGATAGAAAAAATTATTTAAGGAAATAAATCGCTTGTTGCTATCAAAGAAATCAGTAGCATACTGATTTTCGTTATTATTAGTAGTAGAATATTGTCACGCATTATCAAATACTTGTTGTTGATATTCATAGTTAAATTTCTGTTGTTCATAATCTATATAAAATCAATAATTATATTGGTTTCCAGATGGAAAGTCATCCTGTCCATAATCTTGTTGCTGTTGATATTGTTTATCTTCATTTTCTCCTCCGTCGTAATAATTATCGTCATTCGAATATCCTTCTTGATAACCACCACCATCTGAATAAGGATCTCTAACTCCTTTTCTACCTCGATCATCATTATCGTCGTCATTCTCTTCAAATTCTTCAATATCAGCTTGTCCATCATCATCCTCGTCCTGCTCATGTTTTCCCTGAAACATTCCAAAAGTAGATATGTCTTTGCATTTTTTGCCCAAGCGTGTTTCTTTGAACGAAATGGCTATTACCACCTTCAGAAGGTATCAATAACGGCTATTGCCATCTTCTAACCTTCTACTAAGCTGGAAGGTGCTAATAGCTTCTGATTGACACCTCTGGAGTTATCAATAGCATTACCATTTTTTGAATGCACTCGATTTTCTCTCTTAAAGCTAGTTAAATCGAAGTCCGTTTTTAAATTACTCACAAAACAATAATCCACTTCATCCTGATTATCCCAATGATCTGAACCCAAATCGTGACTATCAAGTTTTCTTACAGTCCATGCATCAAAACAATAATTACTATTTGTCATATAATCGTAAGGTCTAAATATTAACTTGTTTTAGTGTAAGAGAAGAAAAAGGAAAGGAAAAGTTATCCTTACATGTAGCAATATCCATGGTCTCCCCATCCTTCTCCCCATGAATTTCGTACAATAAATGCTTGCGATGTATCAGAATAACCGACTGCTAATAGTGCATGACTAAATGAAAACAAAACAGACGAAACACGAGCAACTCAAGTATCCACAAGACATCCGAAAAAGTTGAACTTCATTTTTTATGAACTCACTCGATTTGCGCAGAGTTTCATATTTTAAATCGATGGTTAGTGGAAATATTGTTCCACAGTGCTTTTTTTGTAAACCTTTAGCAAATACTCTAGTTAATTGGCCCTGCAATTGGAATTTTGAGCAGGAAAACTAGATAGGACGTGGCCACATAAAAAGAAGGAGACGGATGCCATTCAAAAACAAAATCGGTTCCAAAGTAGGTTTTTCAAAAAATTCTTACTATTTTTTCTAACTACTATTGACTATTGCTGTTTCGCGGTTAGACCATACCTGAAAATTTTCTTTAGTGTGTAGCTTATGGTCAAGCTACATGGACATTTGTCACACTATTTTGGAGAGAGTAGACTTTAAAACTGACTTAAACACGCTTTTATTGAAGATAAAATTAAATTTAAACTTGTCTATGATGCAGTGAGTAACTACATTGCAAACACAGAGAGCTTTGGTTAGGTTGTGTACACCTATTTTGTACTTATAAAACCATCGGCATGGTAATCTCTTATATATATCTTTTGCAGCTGACATTGCCTGTCGTCTAAGTATGTACCTGTTCCAGATAACTGGAACTATGGGGAATTGTTACAAAAGAATTTTGAAATGAATTCAAATGAAATCTTAAATTCTATTGAAGAAAATGTAGGTAAAAACCTCAAAAATCTTTTAATAGGAACGTGTTTTGAAGCCGGAATTTATGAACTATAGGTAATCGACTATGGAACTTATCAAGGGACTGCTCTTGTGATTCATATAACCCACTGACAATCCCTATGAAACCTTATAAATTTCCACTAGTTTTTGAACTTCTTACGCATCTCTAAGTGAGCCACACTTTCATAGAGATTGTCAGTGCGTTACTGAATCACAAGAGCAGGCCTTGATGAGTTTCATAGTCGATTACTTATAGTCCATAAATTCCAGCTTCGAAAAGCGTTCCTATTAAAGATTTTGTGAGGTTTTTATCTACATTTTCTTCAACAGAATTTAAAATTTCTTTTGAATTCATTGCAAAATTGCTTTGCAACAGTTTTTGACAGTTCTAGTTATGAACAGCAGTTCCAGTTCAGACAGTTAAAAACTATTGGTGCATACCAACTGTTGTCAAAACAAAATATCAATCACACACGGAAGTTTTATCTATATCGATGTTATATCCTGTCATATGCCTTCTTTTCTCAATCTCCACTCTTCATTTATTGTGTTAATCTTCTTCCTTGTTCCTTTTTTTCATACAAAGATGGTATACTGAATGATATAATGCAATCCTAGATTGCGATTCTGCGTAGTGTACTACTCTTTTTATTTTTCTTCTTCAAATAGAAAATTCATATTAAAATTCTCTTCTTGCTCATGCGTCGGAGAAAGAGATAAAATCAGCAAGAAAGCACTACGTCTTCGTACATCTTTTATGATATTCTCTTACCTTCCATGACTGCTACGACTTGTTTCTGATAAACTAGGCACTGGCACAATACCATTTTTACTCGCTTTATCAAAGGATTTAAATAATCTTATGCCAAAAGCAAATGGATAACCTTGTGCAATACATGATTTCATTTCAAATAAATCAATTTTAATTTGTAATGCTTCATCAATTGTAAAATGCTTAGCTTCCTCATAAGCATCTGATGGTGGTCGTTGATTGACTTTAGTAATATCATATGGCCATTCTGATTCTCTACATGCACCATGTTCATCTAAGGCTTCAATAGCATTTGTCATACTACAACCAGTATCACTTATCGATGCTGAAGGATTATCTTGTGCTCTACCATTATAATACATAAATAAGCGACTAACATCTTCATCTCTTCCTGTATGTTTTTTAATCAAATATTCGTATGCACCAGCAAGAGCGTTAGCTGAGCTAGAAGAAGAAAAATAAAAAGATATAATAGAATAAAAGAGAATGAGTAATCGAAACAAACCAGCTTCCTATTTGTGATTGATCTTCAATAGCTGTCATTTCTTGTCGTAAATCAGCCTTTGGTGGTAAATCGTCAGGACTGTATTTCACAATATTATCAAAATTCTGTCTTAAACGTTGTTTATGTGGTAATCTCGTTGATTCTATTAGGCCATTAAATCGAAAACGCTGTTCATTTATTCTACTGATTAAAAATGTTTTCCACGTCATTTTTCTTTTTACAAATAATCTAAGGCGACAAAAGAATAGCTTATATTAGATGTGAATAGATATTTCTAATTTAGTCTTTCAAATAAATATATACACGTAGTTACAGTTGAGTGAAATACCTTTTTTCTCTTCCTTTCTTTCCAATTCGTAATCATTTTTTTTCTCTATCAAGGAACAAAATAAGACTTGAATGATTAATGTGCTTACAAAAAGTTAGTCATAAAGTATATATTATGTTCGTATAGACAAACTAATTGGTAAATTGCTAAATAATGAAACATGCGCCTTGCGTATTGATACTGGAGCCGTGGTGAATAATGTAGGAAATCTTTTGTCAATATTAGTTTCGTTAAATTAGACTTTATAAAATTATCCAAAATGAGAAAAAAAGTAGTTTGAACCTGTCAGCTATTTAAAACTTTGATCTAGTTTGAATTTAAGCTTACGAGTGGACTTCGCAAACTGTCACATCGCTTTTTCAGCCAAGGCTAGTGGTTTGTATGGTATCAACTATTCTGAATCCGAATATCGTAGTGATTGGGCTTCATAGCTGCTTTGGGGTCTTCAGAGACCGATTTTCTAGAAAATCAGTTTTTCAGAAAATCTAAAAAGTAACCAACGCCTTTCTTAATAACGCATGATTGTAGCCCGTAAATTTGTGATTAAAATGAGACATCTCCTAGCTCTACACAATCGTTCTTCGTAAAGTTATAGAATTTACAAGAAAAACCCTAAATGTTCATTGTCAGCTCAAAGCTACACAAATAAGAAGAAATTAATTTAGGGCTTTTCCTGTAAAAGCTATAACTTTGCAAAGAAAGGTCACGTAGAGCTGGGAGCGTCTCATTTTAATCAGAAATCTGTGGGATACAATCATGCCTTATTAAGAAAGGCTTTGGTTACTTTTTGGAGTTTTCAGAAAACCGCTCTCTGAAGACTGCTAGACAGCTACTACTATGATATTCTGATTCAGCATAGTTGATAACCTATAAATCACTAGGCTTGGCTGAAAAAGCGATATAACAGTTGGCGAGATCCCCTCGTCCGCCTTTTCATTGCTCTAACGTAAACCTCCTTCACCCCCAGAATAAAAGACTATAGCTTTCTAAAATGTCCGGATGAATTACCGAGGATGACCTAGACAAGTTCTTTGTTGAACTTTTGTCATTAACTCGTCATTTTTTTAAGACCATGGACTAAAATTGATTGACTGAATCGCTGCTTTTTGACTGGTCTTCTGGCTTGCACTAGGCCGTCAGCGGCCTTCTAATATGTCCCTTGAAACACTGACTTGGTGATGGCCTTCTAAAAGGGTAACCTTCTAATATAGGGTGACCTTATACTTTGGAAGGTGGTTAAAGTAAGATCAGCTAGTGCAATCATTATTTGATTGGTGCCAAGTTCCAGAGTTTCTTGGACATTCAAGAATTTAAAGTGTCGCTACTCACTCTTATGCTCCACACTTTTACATTCTCTCTACGAACTGGCATATTTTGATTCAATTCTACCAGAATTCAACCAGATTCTGAACAGAATCTTAGTAACAGTTTATGTTTGAATCTGTCGAATTCTGCCAATTCTGAGAATTTTTATACAATTGTAAAACTGGACATTGCTGCATTATTTTAACTCCTTCTAATCCGTCTTTGTCTTGTGCGCTGGGTTTCCAGTTGTACTTTTAAGTGTCGTTTTTCTTGATGTCTCTAATTTATCTTTTTACTTGCCGTTCGTACTGTTGTATTTCTTATGTTTTTTTGATAATATGATGTCGTGGAAAGTTTGCAGTTGCGGCAACTCCAATTTTGTTCGCAATTTGTTGTAGCAACGTCATTAGCACGCTGGTTTCAAGCTCACATGGCATGTGCCGATTTATATTTTGCAATATCTCTGGATCATATAAAAAGCATTTGGCAACAGGCATCCACCCCTACTTTATGTTATTGTAGTTATTCATGGTTTTTATGTTATTTATGTTATTCTTGGTTTTTATGTTATTTGTGTTATTCATGTTATTTGTGTTATTCATGGTGTTTATGTTATTCTTGGTTTTTATGTTTTTTATGTTATTCATGGTTTTTATGTTATTCTTGGTTTTTATGTTATTTGTGTTATTCATGTTATTTATGTTATTTTTTTTATGTTATTCATGGTTTTTATGTTATTTGTGTTATTCATGTTATTTGTGTTATTCATGATTTTTATGTTATTCTTGGTTTTTATGTTATTCATGGTTTTTATGGTATTTCAGGTATTTATAGTCTTTTGCAATTGCTGCAGTGCTGTCCTTGGTTTGCTATATGAATTGTTGAAGCAGGACATATTTCTTAGCAGTCATCCACCTCGACTTTATGATATTTGCGGGTTTAGGGGTTTGTGGGATTTATGCTAGTTGAGGCTGTATGTTACCTGGTCATTTTTCGGTAGTTTAGACATATTAGATATTTTATTTACTTGTGTTTTTTCTGATATGTGTGACATGACTTGTATGATTGGTAACAAATTGTCTGTCTAATGGAGTGAAACATTCTTTGAAATAAATTATATTGTTTTATTATGTAATTATATAATTTTTGAGGTAAACCGTTTTGATGAGTGATAATTTAAAGGAAGAAGCCTTTTATCAGCCACACACTTGCCGATCGCGTAAAACTTAGATTTCAAATGATATTTTGTTAACAATCGTTCATATTCTTTCGGTAACTTCATGCATACCGATAGCGTTGTTATTGTCCAGACTTTTGATTTTATTTGCTTTGAATGACATTAAAAAAGTCAGTAAAATATAACAAATAGAATAAAAACGCATAAAGATGAAATTGCAGCACCGTTAATGTCAGAAGTTGTAATTAGTTGAATATATAGTTCTGAACCAGTAAGATAAGAAATGACTGAAGTTGTTTCATTTCATCAAGATTGTTTTAGAATGTGTTCAAATGTTCTTATGTTTGCGGTTGCATTGTTTGTATAGAACTGGGGATGGCATGTGCCCCCAGATGTTCTAAATCAGGTGAGATGCCAGAAATATCGCAATTCCTTAAATGGAATAGGATTAAATACATTGTATATACCTTTGGATAGTTGTATGATCTGAATATTGTTTTGAATTTTGACAGATACGAAAAGGTTTGTTCACATAATGAAGAATTAATGCCAGTGAATACACCCTGATGTATGGGATTATCTGCATTCATCTCTAAACAGTGAGAAAATAACTCGCAATCCAATGAACCTGCATGAATTGTAAAAATTCAAATTATTTACCATTTCTACAAATTGCACGCGTATGATTCCTTTGGTGGAATCTGTCAATGGCTACTTTCATATTTTTGATAAATCGACTTCTGTCAGAATCTTTCAAGTGTTCTGTTCTGTACACGTTTTCAAGAAATAGTTTCAAAGTGCAAGCTGTGTCATACATCATTGCAGGGGGTAGATCGGCATAGTTCAGCATTCGAAATATGTGCCGAATCATTCGTCGCATACCTTCTGCTTTTGGTGATTCATCATACCCGATTATGGTACCACAATTCAAAAATGAGGCGATAAATCCAAAGCTGACTCGTTTTGATTCTTCATGTTTGTACTCATCGCGTGTAACATTACATTGCAATTGTGGAGGCAGTGTATCTGTGAATTTATAGTCAAA